AAGAGCGACCGCCTCCATCCTAGTTGCGATGGCCTCCAACCTAAGAGATGGCCTCCAACCTAAGAGCGACCGCCTCCACCCTAGTACTACCCTAGTAGCGATGGCCTCCAACCTAAGAGCAATGGACTCCACCCTAGTAGCGATGGCCTCCACCCTAGTAGGGATGGCCTCCGACCTAAGAGCGATGGCCTCCACGGTAGTAGCGATGGCCTCCAACCTAAGAGCGCTGGCCTCCACGGTAGTAGTGTTGGCCTCCAACCTAAGAGCGATGGCCTCCACCCTAGTAGCAATGGCTCTTTGGGGGCGAAAGTGTTTGCTGTCAATTTGGAGCTATGCTCTTCAGGAAAGTAACGTAAGACCAATGTGTTCTTCATCTCAAGTTTTGTCGGTTGTTGCCTGCAGATCCGGCAATCTTAGGTTGAAAAGGTTAGAAAGTTGAAGCCATGGCAAGGTACGATCCTGCTCTTTTTTTGCAAATCGCATGTTTCTTTGCAAAAGGCTTTTTGCGGGGCCTCTTTTGGGAATTGTTGTTGACATTCAGCAACTTCAGTTCATAGCCATAGCTTATCTTGATGCTGCAATCGTTCACCGACATCCATGATGATATTCCATGATGTTTGGAATAATGTTTTGTGTCTTTATCTCTTGCACTGCCTTGCATCAAAACGGCTTGGCCACCACCCTCACTCGGGACAGGTCACATCCATGTGCGGGAATGCGTCTTTTGCCGCAACACCATTGACCGGCAAGAGCTGCACTACAGCTGTCCGGACCGGGAATTCGCTGGGGAGGTGGCCGACGTGGCAACCGGCCGGGGGTAATGGATTCCATGGATTCCATACATGGAGTGTTAGTGTTTGGGATTCAGTTTGGACACCTTCGCAGGTGGAGACCGAGAGCGGGCTTGGGTTGGCTTGGGGGTCGCCAAAATTCACGGAAAGAAGCCGCCGTTTTTGGCAGGAGAAATGCCGCAGCTTGGAAGCAATGTGCAGCTAAAACCAAAAAGTGTTGAAACGCTGTTTGCAGTTTTGTGACCGCGATAAGAAGCCTTTTTCTGTATGTCAGAACTGATTCAAATAGCCAGTCTAAGCCTCTCTAAGCCGTTCAAGGCTGGCGGCTGCCTCATTTCGTTGCCCGATCTTCGAGACTAACCCAGGCTTTGACGTGTGTCAATATTGTTTGAGCCCCAGCAGTGAGTTGCACAGAGAGAGAGAGAGAGACAAGTCTCCACTCACCTTTCTTAGGGCATGGTGGCTTGAGCGAGGAAAGCTCTGACGTGGTGAAAGGTTGTTTTGCAGACTCAACTCCCTGCTTTGTTTGGATTCTACAAAATACAAGATAATTAGTTTGTTGTGTGCAAAAGCATCAGGATTGGTGAACCAGCACATTTTGTTAAACAAGTGTGTGTATATATATATATTTAGAATAGTTATATACAGTGTATATATTTGTGTATGTATATATATACACACATGCACCACATAGAGAGAGAGAGAGAAATAACTGAAGTTGAAGAGATCATCCTTTGCATGGCCTTGTGGCATTGGGTCGGGCTTGGGTCGCAAGGCTACAAGTCCCAGATTGCCAAGGCCAAGGCGGGTTCGGCCGGTTCAGCATGTTCAGGCCGTCACTGTTACGTCAATCCATCCTTTTGTTTCCCTGTCTCATTATTGGCGATTTGGTTTCACGACAGGTTGGGCATCATTGATGGTTGGAATAGTGAGCAAAATCCTCCAAGCACAAGACGAGTCAGCCCAAAGGGAACCCTAAACACATGCTCATAGCTGCTACGCAGAGCTGGTTTTGAACATCTTGGGCGCTCCCCATTTCTCACTGCAGGGCTCCATTGCGTTCAGGTCAATGCAGCTGGGAGGTCAAGGACGGGGCGCTCGCACGGGCGACGGCCCATGACTCATGACTGCTCCATCACACTGTACAGGTTGCAGCAGATCCTGCATAGGCTCCGGCTGTTCAAATGCAGGTGCCGGTGCTGCTATAACAGCTATAGATTTGCTATAGGTCCTTCATTGATACTATTTTGAATGTAAATGATTCGTCCAGACCAGAGTGAGGTAAGGCTGATGTAGGGGGCAACCTGCTTCCGTTTGTGCCTCTCAACGCAACGACTTCTTGGAGAAATATGGAACGACTGTTAAAGATCAACCCAGATTCAAAACGAGTGTGATGCTCTGCCCACCGACCATGCAGAGTGAGACAAAAAGTGGTTGATTTCCATTATATAGGTACCTGATCCCACAATCTTGCTCTTGTTTGGTAGGACAGCACCCTTTGCAGCTGGCTTGCCTTGTTCGTTACCCCACAGTCGGGGATGTCCATCGTCTTCAGACCCGGGACCGTTGAGATGACGTCCGCCAGGTCACCCGCCAGTTCTTCGGTGAAAAGCACACCAGACTTTCCCACCGGTCAGGGCCACAGCCGGCGGGTGTTCTCTGCGGGGTGCTCGGAACCAAGAGTCCCATGCCCGGAACCATGAATTGGGATACGGACACTGGCAGCATAAGAGTCAAAGACAACCTGTGGCTCGTGTCTTTGTCCGAAAAGGGATGTTTCGACTGCTTGCATCCGTCAGGTGGCAGTGCTGCCTCAAGGCAACAGTTCGTACGTCGCCAAAGATTCGCTTCCACGAATGTCAGACTAAAACCGGTTCCAATTTTCGACCTGTTTTCATCACGAATATGTTTCACATTGTTCGTCTACTTTTCTCTCCTATTAAGATCGGCGTGTTTTCGCGATTTGGACAGGAATGGTGCACATCCAGACTTTGGAGGCGATGGCATAAAACGAAATCTGCCATGCATGGGATGTAGTTTGATGTATATTAATATTGTATGTCAATTGTATACATGCAATTACATTCAGAAAGCAAAAGATAAATGGTTGTTTTAAAGGATAGATGTCAAACATGCATGTGTCATCATGTGTCCATCTTTGTCCCACGCTGCATGGTCATTGCGAATGTATACATCAAGCTCTGTCTTGGAATAAAAGCAGAGTATACAATACATATATATATATATATACCCCAGACACTCCATGTATGCCATATATATGCCTACATTGACCCCCAACACCACCCCAATGTAGGCATATATGGCATACATGGAGTGTTTGGGTACTGTAATTGTATGAACTTGTAAAATGGCGCAAGAAACCGGTGTTCCACAATGCGCCGTCACACGAAAACGCTGGCGCATGAATTTGAAGATACCAGCAGACAGATGTCAATCAAGGCATGGAAGCACATGAAGCACTGGGGTCGGCGTCCATGGGAAATCTGTACATCGCCGCGCGCACACACGGAAATCTCCATTACGTCCGTATTGTGTCTTGAACGCGACGCGCAAGTCCAAGCTTGGACACGCGCGTCAATAGCAGCGTCCGCCGAAGCACCAGGAGAGAATCCCCCGAATCGGCCGCGCCTTCGAAAAGACATAAAAACACCAGGAAAGCAACTGCGGAAACATGTGTTCTCCATGTTCTTCTTTTTCTCGTCTTCCGGGCCCCGAAAAGCACGACGGAGCCGCGACGAGCCGTGTCCCCTTTTCGGCTCCATCGCCAAGACTGGACATTGCTCACGCTCATGGTCCTAGACTGGGCGTTTTGTTTTCTGAAGACCTGAGCACATCAAACCTTAATGCTCTATAGAAGCTTGTTATTGGACAATAGCGGCCCTGATGTTCAACCAAGCCGCAGCACTCAGAATCGCCGCCAGGAAGACTGGCGCTACCAGGAGAGCCAGGAGCGTCAGCTCCTAGAGGTGCTAAGACCTTGTCGTTGTGGGTTTGCTGGTGCTATCAGTTCAAGACCATGTTTGTGATGGAAAGATATCGAACCAACAGATTGCCATGGAAAGACTGTGGAAGTATATAATACTTCCCAGCAAGACACATACAAATATCATAGTTTGCCTGGATTTGTACTGTGCAAGCCTTGTGGTGCTGCTTAAACAAGGAAAGTTGGACAGACGATTTTGGGGGAGTTCACCGGAGATAGGTTTTACAAAGACTAGCTGGTATGGTGAGTTGATAAGGGTGTATAGTAGCGATAGTAGGGTTGGCAGATAGATGGTGAGACTGATGGACCGGATGATGTAGAAATCGGTGACATGGTTTCTACGATGAGATAGAATCGGCCGCCTGGAATATTGGAAATTCACCGGAGAAAGCTGGGTGTTGAGCAGTTCAGAGGAGATTGTGCGTCCTGTTTGATTTAAAGTCTGGGCGAAGAATCCAGGGGACCACTGGGACCACGCAATCACCCTGGAGTAGGTAGAATACTGGTGGAATGTGTGAAAACATACAGGGTTCCTGTTCCTGGTCGTATTGGATGGTATTGGCATCACTGCATGAGCACTTGGACAGCACACCTTTGAAACTGCTCATGTTTCAAAGTTCCAGATTCTATGCAATGGCCAATGAGGAAAGCAAGGAAGCATACGGTTAAGAAAACTCCACGGTATCCCCAGAACGGTTCCTGCTGAATGTGCAACCTCTCCCAACAGGATCCAGGTGTATTTCCTTTGAGTCTACTCCAGGTCGGAGGTCGCACCCATTGGGCGCTTTGCACCTTTCAGGCCCCCCACCGCTGCACACGGAAGAGCAGCAGCAGCGAAAGACTCCATCGCAGCAGCTCGACAGACTCATCGACCTCGCAGGACACAGGAGAAAATGGACGGAACCTGCTTTTTGAACTGTGTAACTACCAACGTGTATGCATAAAGTTGGTTTCTTCCTTTACATCCTTGAGTACTTGAGTGTGTTCAGTTAATAAGTTAAATGGTGGGGAGTGAATGTTTCTTGGTTGTTTGGGAGCACACTGACCACGTAGCTTCTAAAAGCATTTGAAAGCCCATGGATACTCTGGAACGGAGCATCATGTAGTGGACATGTTCATCTCTTTCGTGCATCATGGCTCTTCCTGAGGTTCAAGCATCATTTTCGGGCTGCGAGCCAGCAGTTGGTTGGCAGCAGAAAGCCGAACCGTTGGAGCAGCAGTGAAACAACACCCAGCAACGGGGGGCTTGGCCCTTTTTCCTGCCCGTTCCGCATGAAGTGAAGAAGAGTGAAGGTCAGTTTGGACCCGGGTTCTACCTACAAACAAATCCGCTTCTTTCCTAGTAGCGATGGCCTCCAACCTACTAGAGATGGCCTCCAACCTATTAGAGATGGCCTCCAATCTGCTAGAAGATGGGCTACCTAGAAAGAGCTTGAACGCCAATTGCTACTTCTACAGGGCAGCTGTGGGTCCGACACAAGCAAAGCTAGGCCGCTAGGCGATCCAAAGCTTGGTCTTGAGAATCAAGGACGAAAGACAGAGACTGTAGCTGTTCACAGGCTCTCATCGAACTGTTCACAGGCTCAACTGTTCACCTCCGAAAGGGGATGATGTCCATGTCCAATCTCTCGGGAGCTGTCCGGAAACATGTCAACAGTGTGGGACCATGCTGACGGTTGATCAATGCATATATGTGTTCAAAAACCACAGTTTAGCATGGTGTTGCATCTCCACAACGGGGAGAGTTTGATGAACCATCCACATGAAACCATGTGAAGCCACTGAACTTTGCGGAGGTTCCTGGAGTCCAGCTGGCAACGATCTGTGGAGGTGGTCTTCTGGATCGTCATCGTTTTGGCAGGCGGTGTTTCTTTTGCGGGCAAATGTTGGGCAGATTTGAAGATGTGATTCTATGTTTGGATATATCATGATAATTCTGTGCTGCTTTGGCAAATCACTTAGATCTTGGAATGAGAAGTGGTAGGTTTGGAGTCGCTGACTCACTGAGCTATTTTGCAAACAGTTGGAACAAGTGCATCGCTCCTAGTAGCTTCTTGTTACTAGTATTAGTAGCAATGCCCTCTACTAGTAGTGTCCTTGTTACTGTAGTAATGCCCTTGTCAGGTGATTTTATTGGAGCTTCATACATCGAGAAGCTCACAACAGCTGAGGTCGACGGGTTGGTTCTTGTTCCGAACGGGGCACGAACTTGACGGTGTGTTTGCATCATGCAGGGCCATGCGGAACGTGTTGGAAGTAGGTGATGCGTAATGCTTGTTGGCATTTCGTTGTGTGCAGCGGTTTCAAGAGTTTTTGAATCTTAGAGCTTGGCACAAAGCAACACATCGACAATCGGGTGATACTATATGCCATACACATCAACTGCTGCGGTCTTGAGTTTGCTCACTAGTTTCAATCCCGACATCTCTCATCACGGCTGTGCCACATGCCATCGTGTTCCTTCCATATCAATATCCTTCCTGAAATGACCATCAGAACGGGGCGCTGAAGTCGCAAGAGCCAAACATGAGTTCATCGCAGGTTTTGGCCTTTCCATACCCGCGACTTGGATTCTGCGTTGTGCCGGAAAAATAAGAACAGCAACAACAACAACACATTCTGCCATGAAGAGAGTTCTTTGAGTCATGGGGCTTTGGACGTGTAGGTTCAAACCTGATGATAACCAATCCATATGCCATAAGAGTCCTAGTCCTAGTGATCAGTCTTATAAGATTTACGGAAGAGTCTCACACTCATCCTGAGGTTTCTAACAGCCTTTGTCTCAAACCTGGTCGCCGGAGTCCTTGCGATTCTGATCCTTATGATGCTGGACCGATTTGATTCTCGCGGAAGTCTGGGTGAGCTTGCAGCTGTGGGTGGCGAGGCGCCGGATGTAAGACATGGGCATGGCCAGTAACTAGTGCTACCCACACAATTCGCTTCGAAAGGGACACATTAACCAAAAGGTGGCGATCTTCTGCTTCGAAGTGGCCGGGCCATCAAACGAACGATATGACCAAGATGAAAACAAAAGCAACAGCTGTAAAAGCTACTAAGATAGGAGGTTTTGCTTGAGAAGAGACCATGACGATCGAAACTAGAATTCAAACAAACCACCGCCCAGTTTCAGATGCCTTGGAAGAACTTTGGGAAGCACCCTGCCTGCCCGAAAAAGCGTCCCGCCTCAGATGGACCTAAAGATGCAGATTATCCTGGGAATCCTCATCACCTGTGAGATCGGAGCCGCCGTCAAGGCGAGCCAAAGAAGACGACGACCGCGGAAACAGAATCGCGATGGGGTTCAGAACCGTCCTGAATGTGAGAGTGTGTACCAAACAAAGTTCCTGAGATGGATTCCCAGCATCTTCAGAAAATGAAGGTCCAAAAGATTTCGCAAGCATGAGGGTTTTGTTTAAGGTGCTGTTCAACCCTTGGGAGCACTGGAGTCATCCTCAGCTTCCTCCCTGGAGTCGTTCCTACTAAAGGACGCCCGATCAAACCAAAAGTTCAAGATGGTTGGGGGTATTCTTAGATTCTTGATGGATGGTGCTATCATCCTTTGACCAGATCATAATCATACCTTTAACGTCCCGAAACGCAGTGAATCCCAAAACCCTGACGCTGTTTCTCCTGCAGTCCTGCCTGTAGTCAGGACAAACCGCAGCAACCAGATCCTAGAACCTTGCAACCGGAACCGACCGGAGTGCTCGAGGTGTTATCGAACGTTCACCACACGATGGCTGCTTGGTTCTACATGTTGACTCCTGCCACTTGCCTGCAGAGGTGAGTGGCCACGTGATGCCGGAGTTGACACGAGCTTGTGGAGAGAAATTGGTTTTGCCAATTCTGTCACAAGATGCTGGGAAGTGTATGAGAGCCGTCAAAGATGGATAGATTGAACACGATTGAACCATTTGCTGCAAGTGATGAGTTGCACTTTTGGGTTGCGCCTACTATTTCATTCTTCGGGTTATCGAACATTGTCCACTTGGCACCCAGGTGGCTACCATCCTTGTTGCTAGCCAGAGCCTGAGAACAAGATAAGTAAGGTCAAAAAGTCAATACCCTGATGGCACTGATGGGTGGATTGGTGATGTTGAGAAGCCTAAGCCCTTTAAGTTGCTTTGGATTCCACGTGCACATATGAAGATCACGCTGGAAAAGCCACGCTTTCTGCACTTCAGGCAGCAACTATTTTAGTACCTTGGCTTGTTTTTGCGTGTTGTTTCCCGGCATGCTCAGACTTGTCCTCGTTGCTTGTATTCTGCGCACTAGGGTTGGACAAAGAGAGGCCTTGTTCTTTGCTGTGCTGAGCTTGTCAGTTGTTTGCAGCCAGGAATGGAGGTGCTACAAAAGGACATTCCAGCTCTTTTATTAAAGTGGTCAATTGCATGATGTGTCAGGTCCGCATACCCAACGTGGTGCAGCCTGCAAATCGACCCCCCCCCGAAACCCTCAGCAATCCCAAAACAATGAGACTCCGTATCAATCCTCTCGACTCAAACTGAGGCAACATGGAAGAATGTGGTACCAATAGCACCACTCAGATTCGAAGGGAATTGCCCCAAATCCAGAAGCCCCACTGAGTGGAACGGCCCACTGTGTGGTCGGCTGTTCTTCCAGCGAGCACAGGAGCTTCTCACAGCAGCGGGAGTCGTGTCCTGAGCGGACAGCGAGTCCGTGTAGTCTTAGTCAGTCTGTTTTATGACTCTTGGACTCTTGGTGAAGCAAATCTAGGTGTCTCCGATTAGCCTAAACGATTCTCCTACTGTCTTGACTTGGTTCGACCTTGCTTGGGCCAACGATCCCTGAACATCCATCTCAGACTCAAGACTACGAGGGGTGTTCGATGCGCTTGCACAGGACGAACAAGGCAGACAGACGCAAGACGACCAGTGTTCGATGCGCTTGCACAGGTGGCGTCTTTTGGTGGGATGTTGGCCGTCAAAGGCCCTTGGCCTTCCTTAGAGGCGGGCAGCGTTCTGTGGCTCTCCGGCAACAGAAGATGCGAAGACCTGGCATGATCCAGATCCGGAGCGATCAAAGGCTATCAAAGGCCCATAAGAAGACATATGTTCCCAGAGATGGATCTTAAACTTTAACTTCCACCCAGCCCCCTAAGCAAACGATTGAGGGAGTCTCAATGGTCTAAATCCCACCAAAGTAACCAGTTATTCAGGTCAGCAGCAGTAGGAGTAGCAGTATCACTAGCAATAGCAGTAGCACCAGTTGTAGTATGTTGTAGTAATTAGCAGCAACAGCAATTGGCAATAATTAGTAGTGATGGTAGTTGATAGTGGTAATTGTAGTCGTAGTAGTGGTGGTGGTGGTGGTGGTAGGAGTAGGAGTGGGAGTAGGAGTAGTGGGAGTGGTAGGAGTAGTAGTAGTAGTAGTAGTAGTAGTCGTAGTGCGTCTCTGACCCAGGGGGTTGGCGGGTTCCTGAGGCGCAATGCCCGGTGTTGCTCAGCTTCCTAGACGGCTGGCATCAATTTTGCGCCCTTCCCCTGGGCACGTGCGCAATCCCTGGAACATTTGTTTGGAGCAATGCTTCCGATGAGCTTTAGTGAGGGGTTTTGAAGCAGGTTGCCAGGTCAGAACTCCAGAAATTCAGCAAAGCCTCAGAAGATGTCACGCAGATTCACGCAGGGCGCTTAAAGGCAGCCAACAGCTAAGCAATAGAACGCGCGACAGTGAGGAAAAACAAAGACAAATCACCCTGGGCCCCGGGCGATCTCTTCTATTATTCTCTCCGTCTTTGTAGCTTAGGATACGACGTATGTTTTTTTCAATACACCATATATCATATATCTACAGGGTGCATACCAGTCAAAGGATGAGCACAGTTTTAGAGAAAAACCTTTGCTGACTCTCATCCACTGGTAATAGGATAGGCCCAAACAAGAGGACATGTCCAAAACACTTGCTCACTTGGTCTTGATTGATTTGCGTGGAGCTACGGAAGCTGCGGTGAAGCTGTGCCTTAGTTGACATCAGACATTGTTGATGGACGCTGTGGGAACCAGCGCAGTTTCAAAAACATATATCATTGTGTATATTGTGTTTTATATCAGCAGTGACCACTATTTGACCAGTCGGTTTTATAGTCATATGTGGGAACCAGTGACTTACAAGACGATATATATCACCTGTATAGCAGCTATAGCAGGTACTGGACCGTTCATCTATCAACGGTACAACTCCTAGACTGTATTCGGAAAGAGTTTTGGACAGGGACTCACAGCTCTCCAATGGGCCTTTGTGGCTGTTGCCTGGGATCTCAGACCTGACCGGTGGATGCTTGGGAGTCGGCGGATGGAAGACCTGGGGCACCTCACGGGGCCACTCGGGCCACGAAAGCACCATCCGAATTCATCGAATTCGTGCAGTTGGGTCCCGAAAACACCCCAAATCATGAGATCGCTTCAATGCCGTTCTAAGCCGCTCTCTCGCTCTCTCTCTTTCTCTCTCATTTTAGTATGTCCCTTGTTGAACCTTTTAAGACGACCCCTCCGTCACCGCCAAGACTGAGGTCATCACCGTGGCGCGGTGTTTGTTGACGCAGCGCATCATGTCACCAGACCTCGGAGAGAGGCGGTCACCGGCGCCGCTTCCGTCGAGACACGAACTGGTCCGACGCTGCGACATGGGTTTGCATGGTTTCATGATGTTTCATGTATATATATATATATAATAGTATCCCCAGTCAGTGGATAACCGCGGGTAACCTATTTACCTTTTTGCAATTGGTTTCCCCACTCAACAAGAACCTACATTCCAAGGAAACTAGGAAACTGAGGGAGTCACAGTTGAGAAAGTGCTATAGTATGTCATTCTTGTCACTCATAAACCAAGAAATCCAACCAATGCATTTGACTCCGTGTGCCGGCTCTTCATTTGACCCCAGGCCGGGGGCGCTCCACGTGGCCAGGGCAGTCCTTTTGGCCGGCTCCACGGTCGGTGTCGAACTGCCCGGCGCTTGAGACAACGCGGTGGTTGAGCCATCTCCTCTTCATCCAACCTCCAACCTCCAACGATGTTATAATGAGGGACCACAGGTGGAAAGGTGGATGTCCACGAAATAACGCAACCAGTGTCCGAGATCCCCCAGGCCCGGGACTGCAGATCAACTGTTTCAAGAAAAAGTGCAAAAGTGTGTTAGCTGTTAGCTACTGAAACCAAACAAGCACATGACATTCCAAACACAATGACATAGGAAGGACCAGCCATTCAGTCTTGAGAGCATTTAAAGATAGTTAAAGGCTCCCTGTGATTCCATCCTTCTCGCAGGTCAAAAAGGAAGACTAGGCTTATTGTGATAGTTATATGTATATGCAAACGGTTGATTGGTAAGGGCAGCAGGCACAAACTTTTTCATTAGCCTAGGAACAAACAACGTTCTAGCCTCATTGTAAGCTGAACAGTCGAAACTTAGCCTGCCAGTCTTCGTAATTCTGCCACCTGATCACTCGTATTGCTTAGAATGTTTGGAAAACAACGCACCTCAGACTTCTTTTTGAAGAGTTGCGTTCCACTGTGAAAATTGCTGCAACAGATGTTGAAGACAAGACGCCCAACTCATGCGAACTGGTGTATGGGTCCGCCCACCCAGGTCGCTGGTCTACGAGTGCCTTCCCTGGCGGTCGTTGGCCCCACCCGTTGGTCGTTGGCCCCACCCACCCAGGTGTTCAGTGGTGCGACGGGTGTTGAGATGGACCGTTTGTGATGTTTCAAGAAGCGAAAGCGAAACATATCACAGTATTCACAGTATCATGGAGCTGATCGATGACACATCACACTATGATGCTCATAAGAGGGATCAGACCAGTAGAGGGTAGATGGATGACAGATGTACCCGAAAGAACATGTTTTGCTTCAACCTGGAAGGGCTCAAACCCTATTCTTTGCCAAGGTGGAGCGGCTTTTGGTCACTTCCCTGGCTGTTGAAGGGTTCAGTCTTCCAAATGCTTTGCATCATAGGCGCAGTCCTCAGAATCTGGGGCTGTTCATCCAAGTTTGAAGTATCAACTGCTGTATCATGAGCGCCAGATGAAAGAAATAGTTATATGATAGCTTGCCTTTTATACATCAAAAGGTTCCGTGAGACCCAATGCTCTCATGACTGTTCAAAAGTTAAAAGATGTTGTTTTTAACCTCATCGCTTTGGTGTTTTGGTTCAACGGCACGAGGCTTCTGCCAGGCGCTGAGCGTCATTGGCTCCACTCGCTTGATCCAGATCACCTCAGCGACCTTCGGTGCTCTCCTGGTGCCCTTCCACACGGTGACCATTCTGCCCATTGAGGCGAGTAATTCGCCCAACGGCGGATGGACGGGAGGATCCCAACGACCGGTGGCACGACCGATACGCCCCACGAGAAAGAGGCATGCAGAGAGGGAGACAGGGAGACAGACGAGAGCGAGAGAGAGAGAGAAGCAGAAGGAACGGAAAACAGATGAGGTGATGAGGATTACTCATGTGTTTCTCGTGTTTGATCGGTCTACGGCAGTCGCAATGAGTGGTTGTTTTTGTGTCCGGTCTACACCGCGCATAACCATAATCGTTGATGACACTGATGAGAACGAATCAACATGACTTCCGAGGGGGCCAAAACCACGAGACAGCACCGATCGGACCGACTCGCCAGTCCATCAACACTCCAATTACAGCCGTCAACTGGCTTGGCCTCGTCCTGTGTGCCACCTCGGCCGTGATGTACTTCAAGGCGTTGGGGCCCGAACCACGAAAGCGGCGCGACTGGGCCAACGGCATGGCCAATGGCAGGGTTCCATGGCAACAAAAAAAGCACCTGACTTCATCACCACCAATTGGGTTTGGTCAGATGTTTTTCACTTAGTGCTTGTTCATGTGATTGAGCTTCGAAACGACGCGCCTGACGGTTTCGGGTAGCACCAGACAGGCTCGCAAAAGCAGCGGAGACATACCGGAAGGCAGGCACCCATCGGATCGATGAGTGGGACGGGTTCAGAACAGTTTCGGAACTGAGTCTCCCATGCACGTGTCCCGTCGGCAAAGAACGCAATCAGAAGATATCAGAAGGTCAAACGGATTCCGTTGCGGATTTCCAGGCCATCTCTCTCTCTCTCTCTCTTGATCTTTGTCTCGGCTTCTTGACCGATCAGCTGAATCCGATCATTGACCGTTTCTGGGATCGTTTGATGTTTGATCATTTGTTTTTCCATTCGGCCTCAGTTGGCCCGTTGAAACGATAAGAAGATGTTAATTTGTTTAAAGGCGATAGAATGTAAAGATGTGTTTCATGAAGTCAGTCAGAAGTGTTCTTTAATAGTCGGTCTTCCCAGGTGGCGAAGTCAACGACCCAAGCCCCAAAACTTTGCGAAAGGAATGGCGAAAGGAATTGGTTTGGAGTTTTGACCCATGCTTGATGTGGCTTATTCATTGAGATGTCACAAATCGCTCAGTTGCGACTGCGGGGACAGGAAACACTGTTTTGTCAACTCGATTCCAACTGCCCAGAGTTCCCTTGTTTTATGTGTATTTGGTGGTTCAAGCAGTGGTTACACCTGGAAAATGTGAAGGTCAACTGAAAGTTCCTTGTCCTGCTCCGGCTGACAGGTTATGCTGTTATCCAGTGCTAGCGCACGTTCAGCGAAGCTGTTGTGGAACGAGCGCGTGTTGGAAAAGCGGCGCGGTTGTAAAGTGATTGTTGGGATGGCTTCTACTTGTATGAGACATACATGACATGTAACGACTTGTGGCAATATAAACAGGCAACAAAGTGACGCGTGACGGCCCCTTACTGTGCTAACGGAACGACCACCCATGTCATGTCAAAGTGAAGCAGTCCAAGATCGTGCTGTTCTAACGGCCGGTCTCCCGGCCGTTTGGTCCAATGTGACCCGGTTTGACCCTTTGTTCGATTTGCGACGGTCGAGACCGTCATCAGCGACGGAAGCGGTCTCCCTGCAGCCACGGTCTCGGCCCAGTGGGAGTAGCGGACCTTTTTGCTCCGGGCGATGTCACGGGCGGCGCCGCTGGGCGATGAGCGGAAGGGGTGGTGGAAGTGCCCAACAACATAACTCCCCACATCTCCCCATCGGGAAGAGTCATCTATGTTGACTCACGTGAAAAAAAAACCTTAAACATCTCAGGCCATTTAAAAAAAAAACATGTATGTTTTTTCAATATGTCCATAGGTTGTTTGGGACATCCTAGAACATCCCACAGTCGTTTCGGTGTTTGGGGAGGTCCCACAGTCGTTGGGCTTTTGTTTTCGGTGTGCCCGGGTCGACTCATTGGGCGCGACAGGCCACGACTGGCCACGACTGTTGATCAGACTCACCAAACTTGGCTTTTCCCACTCCAGAAAACGCATGTCTGACGAGGGAACCACCACTTCTGATATTATGACATGATCTTGTTCGAACACTCCTGCAATCGTTCGATGTCATACATCCCCCTCCGAACCTGTGCCTTAAATCCTGACTTTTGTTGGTCAAAACCTTGAGAACCACGACTTGCGCTTGCATTCTAAGGTTTAATTCCTTGGGAGAAGATGACGAGGCGCCGATTCCTTTTTACGACCACCCACTCTTCATATCAGACATGATCCAACGTTGCTAGCGGCTAGTGCCACTTCTACCAGAGGGACCCAGCCCATACTGTATTCTGTTGCAGTCGAAGCTGGCACCAGAACTTGTAGTTGTTTTGTTGGACTGCTCCTTGTTGTTCCCGTTGTTGTTCATGTGAACACGTCCAAAATGGCTGTTTGAAATTTGTTGAATTGTTGAATCTGTTTGAATTTCGTTCATTTGTGATCATTTGTGTAATTCTATTCAATTCTGATTTCCAAGCTGATTCGATGCCAAACATCGCAACAGTTGTTGAGTGCTGTGCTGACGCTTCCTGCCGTTTCCGGAACCAAACCTGGAATGTGGACACCTGCGCAATCAGTCGGTTGATCGGTTTTGGCGAAAGCACAGACGCCTTGGTCAGGTTTGGGACACTAAACATAACAAGCACGCTTGAGGAGAAAATCCCTCGCCACCCACAAGTAAATGAGAATTATTGATTTGTGACCAGGGTGGCGTGGAATGTGTTTGCCCCCCGCAGGATGATCCGTCCAAGCACGAGTGCCGAGCCAAAATGAACCAAGGGGAGGCGGCGGGGCAGCGGTACCGGTGGGTCGTGCAGCTCGCTTTTCGGAATCCCATGAGAAGGGTAGTTGAGTCCCAAACGAAAGCCTGGCTGGGCCTTACGTTTCTTATCTACTTGCCTGCTACGAACGGGGCGCTCCTGGCATTACTAGCAACAAGAACCTAGGAACAAGGGCATCGCTACTAGTAACAAAGGGCATTACTACTATAGAAATAAACGATAGATAGACGAGGACTCTTCAAAGAACGTTTTGAAAGTTACACGTGACTAATCCAGTCCACCTATTAAAAAACGCGCCTCCCCCCCCTAATAAAGAAACCTCGGTCGCATTTTTTTAATAGGGGGCCCCTGAAATCGTGGTGGTCCAATTAGGGTCACCTGGAAAGCGTTTCAAAACCTAAAAGTAATCCAGGACAATTTTATATAAAATCCTCCAGCTTCTTCAACGTGACCTTTTGAAGGTTCCTAAGTGACCCTTACGAGGCTTAAGTGACCTCAAACCAGGTTATCAAAAGGTCACTTTGAAGAACCAGGCTTTATTAAACTCGTATTGAAAATGCAAAAAACCTCCAGATCGAAGGGTTTTCCTTTTCCCCTACAAAAACCTTCATTAGAATAGTGATGACCTTGGTGGCAAGTGCGTTTGCGTGAGTCCGTGCCATTTGGGGAAGGAAAGCCTGCTGGTGTAAGCGCGGCGTGTCATGGTGGATAGACAGGGCGGACAGAGGTGGGCAGTTACGGTTGTTTTTGGAACCTAATAAGAAAAACCCCTCCAGAATCGGCCATGTTGGTAGTTTAGTAGCGGCTTGAAAGAGCGGTAATTTAGAAACAAATAAAAACTGTACTTAGGGGGATCCGACATGACTTTTTTTTTAATAGGGGTCCGCTTTTAATAGGTGCTCGGGCTTACTCTATGACTATGGACCGCTTGCCACCTTGTGTCATCCAACTGCCTCAGCTTCTTTCTTGGGAAGCGTGGGCATTGTTTGGGGATGGCCAGTGGACACAACATGGCGTTGTGAAAGACCCTCCCAGAACAGCAGTAGTAGCAGCACAGAAGCTGGTAGACCACCCTGGTAGGGGGATATCATGGAAGATTATCTTCCGAATCGAAAGGGGCTAATGACTTATTTCAGATAATATCATATACATACAATTTATCATACTTTCAGTGTCAGTCAAAACAGTGCCCCGCTACACATCCACTCAAGGCCCTCAACAGTGTATCCTTGGCTCGTCCTGACAGTTGATCAGAGGCTGTCTTCAATTTTAAGCAGAAGAATTTGCAGACCGACATGGAAATGTTGTGAGCTCAGTCTTCAACAGCTCCATCTCGCGGAAGGACTTGGATTGCTTGATTGACACTGTTGGTTGAAAAATTGTTCGGAGATGCAGCTTGCAGACTTGCACTTCTCGTGTACCTTCCTGTCTGTGTGCATGCCTCGTTGTGCAACTCTAAAGCATCATGTCCACCGCGTTCCACTTTAATTATCGATCGCGTTAAACTTGGACCAGTCACAACTGTTTTTTGCATATCGAATCCGTGTCGACCTCGTTTCGGCGGATGGGACCGCCCAGTCATCACAACGGCCGGACCGCCAATGCTTCTACACCGGTCGCACCAGTCGTCATGCGACCGGGTGGCCGAAGGGTGCTTGACCTGTGACTTGCTTTGTCGCACCGCCTGTATGACTTGGTCTCCGAGAGGTTGGTGGCTTCGGTCGCTCGAGGTGGTTCATGGAAGCGATCCCGGCCGTCTTTGGCGTAGAGGATTCCGATGAGCTTGATGAATCCTTACAAGAGGATGCTCAGGCTGGAATCGCGGGTAATTTGTTTCATTCTGTTCCGAGGCTGTTCCCGTTTGGGTGTGGTCCGCTAGAAATGCAAGTTGGATTTTGTCGCTCTGTGGACCCCAGAGCCGAAATTGTGCGGAATTCTGTATGTTGTGGCAATAGTGCAGAAATCTGCCATGCGAGGATCAGGTGTGCACAGAGCAACTATGCGATTCCAATCATTGCCATGTAGTGAGATTGATGCGACCATAGCAGAGATAGCTGTATTTGCGGGGGGGGTAGAGGACGCTACTAGGAGCAAAGGGCATCGCTACTAGGGGTTCCTGGCCTTACCACTAGTAACAAGAAGCTACTAGGGGCTTCTGGCATCGCTACTAGGAACAAAAAGCTACTAGGGGCTCCTGGCATCGCTGCTAGGAACAAGAAGCTACTGTATAGCTCAAGTTACTGGGGTCAGCTTTCTACCTAATAGATCGTCAATTCCAGCCGTGAGTCAGCATCAGTCAGTCAAGACGCGCAGGCTGACATCGTGGAAAAGATTTGTTCAACAAGCAACACCGAGGATCAGTGTGGATCGATCACAGGTCTTGGCATTTTTGGGGGTACCTTCTTCTGGAGCGCTGACTTTGTGGGTGCAATCTAGAACTGCTTGTTGTTCGACCGAAAAGCATTCACTTGATATTTGATGTTGACAAGTTGCCTGATAGGAATGCCTTCATATTTCAGGTGTGAGTAGTCCTGCCCCCAGCCCTACTCAGGGATGAGGTAGTCACTTGTTCCAGGAACGCCAACGCGCGAACTGTGCCGCTCCTTTTGTGCCACACATGTTGCCATACTTCCGAACTCGTTGGACTAGATCTCTTGGGGACTTCACTTCTCCCACTCCGCAGCTTTCCAGGAATCGAGGCAGACTTTGTTGACATGGCTAGCACAATGTCCAGATGCTGCAAGGCCACCCGCCACCGTGTCACGTGTCACCCACTGGTTTGGTCGGTTTCGCACGCACGGCCCACGCTGTACGCTCGCTCCCCCCGCCCGGAAACCCAGGAAAGGGTCGATTTGGGCAACCTCGGCAGAATCCTGTGAAAGAAACTTGTCTTGTTGCTCCACATCCAACTGAAATCTACAAAACGATTGTAATTATAATTGGACTTGATGGGTCATTTTGTTTGTTTTCCATGTTGGTTTGATTCTTGTCTATGGTCATTAAAATACAGCACTATGTGTTGGTCTTTCAGGTGCTTACAGCTTGTGGTGGGCAGCTTGATCTTTAGACTTCGCCCACTTCCAGGGTCCACATTTAAGTAGCTTGCACCCGGGGACCAATGTTTGAGCCCAAACGTAGTTTTTTGATACATGTTACATGATGATACACATGGACCAATGTTTAGCATCAGTTTCGATGAGGGGATGAGAAAAAAAGCTGACACGACGTCACAATATACGATATGCACATATATACATATGTACACGTGCAAGTGGCAGAACGGACCATGGTGTTGTCTACTTTGGACTTTGGGTGTTTGACCCGGTTTTTCGAAGCAGCCCATGGTGCCATCCCCAGGGGTCTAAACATCTCCCGAATGATCTGCAGGCGTGATGACTTTGTTGGCAAAGCAGTGTCCAAGGCTTTGAAGGCATGGCAGTGATCGATTGAAAACGGTCGGTGAGGGGCGAAGGCCTTTGCCCCACCATTGCCCCGGTAAAACCACAGAATTGATTTCAAAAAGGTATGCTTGATTGCTCGAAGCACGATCCCCATATAAGCTACTGACTGCAGCCAAACACTACAGTTTGGATTGGCGTCCGTTCTTCCTGATAATTTTAACGAAGCGCAGTACTGTCCCTGACTGCCGTTGCGGGTCGACACAGATTTCAGCAGTACTCGTCCTCGTACCAATTATTATCAATTATTGGTTTCTGATTCTGATATAAATTTCAGACATTTGACTTAAGTTCCACAGCATGCTGTAGTTGGTATCATTAATCTCAACCTCTTCTCTCAAACTGGCTGAAGTCTTTTGCAGGTGTTCTTGAACGTATATATATATATATGTCATTAAGGGATGTTATTTATTGGAAGAAATGCCGAACATCCACATTTAGCATGTGTTCAAAGATCTGAGCCTCCACTGTGGAGGTTTATTTGGCCGGCAGACGGTGATGCAGATTTGACATCGACGTTTCACGTGGCACAAAGATTGCACGTAGCTGCTATAGCTTCACGCGGCAGCAGTCCGAAGTTCAACAGAGTAGACTCCGCGTAGTAGTGCTGCCGAAAGGATGAGCCGCCGGGAAACTGGAGTTGGTTCTCGTCTTTCTGGTTTCATGTGATCAAACGCATTGCATTTTTTCTCAAGAATGGATATTGGTAGATTGCCTTTGTGTACAAGGTGTTGTTTGCTTTTCTAAGCACGTTCATGGGTTTCCAGTTTCCACAAAGAATTGAAGCATGAAAGTCGATAAGACTTTGCGAGAGGCCCGTCATTTCTCAAATGTTCTATGCTAAGAAAGAAATAAGTATTGAACACAAGGTTTGAGAACAGGGCAAGAATGGCATGGCGCGATCAGAATGATTTGTCGTTATCCTTCATGATATTGCTGTGGGTTGGTTAACTCAGCAACATAGCATTTCACACGCCAATCAATATGTCACCACACCGATTTGGGTACTTTGGACAGTCTACCCTGACAGGAAGTAAAAGGCCTACCCAGACAAAGGGAATCCTGAATGTTCTCCATGTGAAGATTCTCCTGCCACAAGCTGTGCTCAAAGCGCTTGCGAGAGTCACTCAACTGGATTCTGGACTGTGATCGGACATTGCAGGATGAATAGTGCAAGAGCCTGAAGAAATGCAAGGGGAATTCAGAAACGAAGTGGAAGCTCTAAAGATCAAACTTCAGGTATTATTAAATAATAGTGACATTGCTCCCACCCTTCTTGAAAGTTGGCTTGTATCTTGTTATTTGATGTCATGTTTGATGTTATTTGTCCAAACTCAGACTCTCATAGCTTCCAAGCAGCTTGGTATAAGAACCCTATCCTAAGCCTAAGCCACGTGTTTCCCTCAAATATTCAGGCTTCATAAGGCTTCATATGACTTCAATGCAGCCCACGGAACAACATCGACAATCTCGTGAGATCGCCACCTGTTGATGGCCGATGACGAGGACCTTTGGGACACACTGCATTTGCAGCCAGGTGCTTCAGTCGAGGAGGCACGTTCGACGACACACGCCTCGACCGACGCCTCGGTCGACCTGCTCCACGTGGAGCAGGGATTGTAACGATTGATCACGTGAAGTCATCCTGGTGAGCAGAGTGTGTTCAGATGGCCCAGTTGACCTTGTCTTCTGCTCTTTGCGATTTCGAGCCATACCCATGCAATGGACTAAGAACATCGTCACTGTTTGAAGTCCAGGGTTGACTTGTGATTAGAGGCCAGGGACACCTTGGTTTTTATCTTCCTCTCACTTCATGGACTGAGCCGCCAACGTGTCCAGAACGGCTCTCAGGTTCGCGTGGCTTTCCGAGACCTCTCACGCTTGTATCATCCAGACAAGCGCTCCGCCAGTGGTGGAGAAGGCGCGAGTGGTTCGATGACCTCTCCGTGGTTCGGACAGCCTTGGGCGCCCCATGCGTCCGGATGACCGATGACCATGGATGACGATGACCGGAGCTTGGCCGAAAAAGGCCTGGGAGTATGCCTGGGCTCACCTGGGCTGATCGGTTGAGAAGTGCCCAACGATGGGGATCGATGCACCACGATCGACCCAGATCACTGGCAGCAAAGACCCTCGAATGCAAAGAATGCATGCCACAACTCCATGCAGCTTGGAGGAAAGGTAACTATGGAGGGGAACTACCTGGAGGAATCATGGAACTTCCTGCTTGGGAATAACCTGAATGCTTGGGGGGAAGGATTGCCTGCTTTGCCATCCATCCCACCCCCGCCCATCCTGCAGGGGAGAATGCGGCCTTCGTTCGCGTAAAGCTGGCGAATTCGTGGGACGAAACGGTGATATTCCAGAAGTCAAACACACCCTGGGAGAGCAGATGCAGCCTTCCTTGCAGGTTCCTTTTGCGAGAGAGACACACATTCATCCGTTCATCATTGGCTGGTAGAGATCTATAGCAATGATATTATATTAGAGATCATAGCAATTATTTACATCATATAACATGTCACTTTGGACGATCAAATGAACGAAAGCACGTACCCGGCGATGCAACTGGTGGTACATCTGAGCATCGGCCAGGTACATCGCGCATATCGAATACTCGGCGATGAGGACAGATATTCAGAGGGCTGGGTAGCAATGTTTCTCCATGGGCTGGGTAGCAAAACAGTGACTTCGGTGCAATGCTTTTCCATTTTTTTTTGGAGCCAATGCAGTGCTGGTTTACTTTCAGAAAAGCTCGCGGATCTTGTGAAGCACATTGGGCTCTGTGCATGGCTTGCACGTTGATGGGAAATTGTTAAATAATTGGAGCGTGTTTTTTTTTCAGACGATGCGATTATGAGGTCCAATTTTTGATGGTTGGCCACTGGAATGCTCACATTCGGTGGTCCACATCCAACAGCGTCACCTGGCAGGCAATGCGCAGTTTCTATGCCATGGGCTTAGTGTGAGAAATACAGAGCAGCATGATTTGCTGGATTCCTTGACTTGAAGCTGGCACCATCTTAGAATGTTTTTGGATTCGATTGTAGAGCACAAGAAGGACAATATCAACGATTCAAACAAAAGACAAGGAATATTCCATTGTTTGGAAGTCTGTATGGGCACACCGGCTTGGAGTTGAAGTGGAATGCTTTGTGAACCTCGAAAGGGCCCTGAGACCACCGGCTGGGTATAGCCGGATTTGCCTCAAAAGCTTCTCAACCCAACCATTTTCACATGAATCCAACATCATGTGCTTCCTCTTCAGCCTGCCGTCATGGACCTTGGAAGGCTGCACAGGATAAATCAAAGGTCCTTTAAGGCATCCAATGAGCTGCATAACACCAGTCGCCTACAATCGACTACAAGAAAGCGCAATCAAGTGGCAATCAAGCCTGGAGCGAGAAAAGAAGGCTTTAGATCACCCAACCGGACACCTGCACAGACATAGGCACATGTATGTAGATCCACCTAAAATCAGCCCAATGTATATAGGTCAATCTCTACCAGGTGGGCCTCGTTTCCGTATCATTTACATGTATCTAGATGGAGGTAACATGGGTTTTCGACCCCCAGTACATCAGTTCGAAAACCGTCTGCTTTCACCCCGTGCTTTTCCACCTGGTGGTTTCCTGGACCAGGAGAAGTATGGCCTTCCGGGTGTGCGCTTAGCTGAGACTTTGGACGAAGGCGACGACGAGACGATTGCTCGGTGTGTTTGGGTCGACGGTGGAAGGTCATAAGTCATGACCGCTCGTCGTGATGTTGAAAAACCATTTTCGGTGATACAACACATCTTGCGGCGTTTCGCCAACCTCCCGCACAACATCCGGAGCAAAAAGGCCGAGCACGAACGCGGCTTTGTAGAGGCTTTCAGGGGCTCATGAAGGCGTTCCATGAACCATACCCTGTGCCCCGGCTGTGGCTAAACCCTGCGAGTCCAAGACCATTTCTTAAATGGTCCTTAGGTGAATCGAAAAGAAAAAGGAGCTTCCTCTACTTTGGTGTTGCCAAAAGTGGTCTTTGGACTTCTAGGGTAAATATAGTCAATTAACTACTTAAATGTAATTCCATCTCTATTACAGTTTGCCTAGATGGTTGTTCCAACGTGAAGAGAGCCTTTTGCTAGCTTCCCAAAGTGCAGCTAAACATCACCAAAAAGATCAAAGAAGGAAACTGATTGGAAGTAGCCTCACTGTGCACTGAAGGTCATGCGCGCTCCCTCGTGGAGTGTGGAGCACAATCTTTAAACGTTCAACCCAATGGAACCAGCTGGGCCCAATTCTGAGATGCAAGGCGAGCGACCTTAGAGGTGGAAGCACTCCGAAAGGTACTGCACAGGATGTATTGCATCCGAACGGGCCTACCTACTGCGAATCACCAAGTATGCAGGTGCAGTCAGCTTGGTGGACGACAGGCTGCAGGACTGCCAGCCCCAAGTGGGAAGATAGCAGGAAAGCCCAAAGAGACCACGTGGGCTGATAGACTATGTCACTTCTTGGGTTCCCTCGTTGTCATGTTTGATAGACTGACCGGTCGGCACGACCGACGACCGGCGGAAGCACCGACGTCACGAGGGCTTGGGGATTTCAAGTTGCGACTCGACTTGAGAAGGCACGGCGCAAGAAAGGTCGCCGAAAGGTGTTTCTCGCGAAAGGTCGCTTGTTTGGTTCCGTAGCTGTTGATTCTCTTGGAGCACAGAGAGTAGGGGAGAATGAGTGGTCCAGGGCATCCGTATACTGAAGGATGGTCAGCATTTGCAGAACATGAGAGCTACGAATCAGTAGACAAGCATGAGCAAACTCTAGTTGAACCATTCACCTTACTTTGCCTCTAGAAATTATGACTATAATTTAGTAGCTATAGCTCCATAGCTCATAAGATTGCAATCATAAGAAACCATGTCGCGCTTGAGACGGAGAATTCTCCGTTTAGCCTTTTCCGCTGTAGCATACGGCTGGTGGTTCAGTCGAATCACCTTCCCGTGCTTTGCCTTTGGACCGCAAGCTCCCAAGGTGCCTCAGGCGCCTGAGGCATCAGATACTGTTGGACGATGCCTTTTGGGCAAAGAGGCTTGGCAATTTAGTCGATGGCGTGCTGAAACCGACGACATCCGTGGGGGCACTTCAACTGCCTCCTTCAAAGGCTTGACCGATTCGAGCGGCTTCGCTGAATTCGCAGGGCTTCTATCAGAGGTGGATCAGGCCTTCGCGGGTGTCTCCTTGCAAGCATCCTTTCTGCCGTCCCTGTCCGAGCTCAAGGGCCTTGTGCTCGACATTCACCACGGAGATGGCGAGGAATACGCCATCGCCCTGCGGATGTTAGGCGCTCCGGCAGGCGTGGAACATGTGTATCGCTTTCAGGCGAGACCCGGAAGTCGAGTGGAGATGTATTTCAGGGATTTTCAGCCAACACTTCGAGGACTGATGCGACATGACGGCCATGTGACGACACATGCGACACATGGGACGTTGATGTTAGCGAGTACTATTTACTTGTGACCATTGTGCGACTATATATATATAATTGGTATTGGCACTAGTGCTAATTATGATTAAGGATGTGTGTGAGTGTGCGTGTATATACCCCATATGTCCATCGACTGTAGAAGTAGT